GTGTGTGTGTGTCGCACATTCCGGAGAAAAGATTAGGCCACACGGATGTGGATGGTTTTTTTGTGAAGGTGGGACGGATCGAATGAATCCACAGACGGACAGGAGCAGCGCGCGCGTGTGAATCTTGATTATTAGCATCGACCGCGCTAACCGTCTGACCAATGAATAGACATTAGTCTCAGTGCGGGTGAACACCAAACCAAGAACACTTGTAAATGCCCTTGACTGGGACCCCGCGAAGGGGCGGCATGGGGTTTGTGTGCTCTGAAACATTCAAAGAAAAATGGATATACGTCAAGTATGAGCAGACACAGCCAAACTATCGCTCACGCAGTACATTCAATCATACATGTATGTAAAGTTATATAGTTGTGTTGGCTGGTCGTAAGCAGTGGAGGCAGTATGGGTGTTCTTTTCCCTTCTGTTCCCAGGCGGCTGTTCGACTTGGAGGAGAGTCTTTCATGTTCTTTGAAGCAGCTGCAAGCTGTAACATTTTTCTTTCACGCTAGCACAGCAGTGGCGGGTAGAACAACAGCAAAGAACACCTTGCTTGGTCGAAGGTCGTCGTATTACAGTACAGTCATATAAAAAAACGCGTACGTCTGTTCCCGTGGTTGCACCGTCTTGGTCACTCATTACGCGAAATTGGAACGGCAACTGTGCGCGCGGGATGTATGTCCCTTTAGACTTCTTGGCGAACAGCATCTTGTTCCACAATGTTTGCAAGGGTCAGTGCGTTCCACCGTTACCCATTTCGTCGCACGCATCAAGGAGTGAGTGCTTCACGTCGCTGGGTAATGAAGGTGTTCAGACGCGATTTATCTTCTCGCGAAAGCATGATGTTGTGGATCATCGATGCAGTTCCTGGAGAACGTGCGAACACGAGATGATCCCTCTTCGCCGCAAAAATATCAGATCTGCGTTATTTTCTGATGGGTGTGACGTTTCCTGTTGGAGGATGGCTTGGGCAGGGTGGCGCTGAGTCGAGTCCCCGTGTTCATGGCGCAGCACTTCTGTTTGGTTGATGTGCGCGTCCCCTCTTCGCATTAACAGCCAATCTGTTCCGAGCACGATATGCACGATTTCGGTCGTTCTTGCGCAAATCGCTGTCGTGCATTCATTGTCTGGGTAGTCTGCATGTTGTGCCCTTGATTGTTGATTCGTTGAACGAGGACCTTGTGGTGCTGTTGGGCGGGTGACCCACACGTAGAGCCCGCTTGCATGTCTGCTACCCACATTCTTCAAAATCCTGTTGCACAACGTGATAATCTACAGAAGCGTGGGCTGTGTGCGTGACACAGAATTACAAGCTGTGCACCTTCGTTGTCGTGATCTACACAGTACAGCAGTTGTAGTGTGATGGGTACATGTTGCGTGGGACAGCAGCTGCTTGGGACAGCACGGCAGCAGTGCATGCGCATGCCTCGATGCTGGGCACGTCGATGAGTCACCATTACCTGCAGTGACAAAACAAAAGGTCGCAATACCCGTCTGCTGCACCGCAGAGGGACGGTGAGAGGGGGGTATCCGCCTCTCTCGTGACGCGTATCTGGCGTCCTTCGACGCTGTATTAGTCTAGACTACAGGGCTTAAACCATCGGTCATGATTTTGACATTTACTTGACAGTTTCGGACTCGAAAAAATTCCGAATTAGAAATATTTTGAGCCAAGCCTTCGTTCTGAGATCGCTCCTGACAGTCTCGCCAGAACCCACCCACGAGGAAAATAATATGGATTTAAGAGCCGAGAGAGGCTCGTTTGTGGAAAAAATTCACGATTTTTCGATTTGCCGACTTTCTTCAAGTAACACATGACACGCACCGCCGCACGCACACACAGCAGCAGTATACTGAGAACATGTCAACGCGGCCAAGGAGAAGGCCAGTGCACAGCGAGAGGCCTTGGAGTTGGCGCGCCACCAATACAAAAACAGGGAGGCTGCACGGTCAGAAAGCTGGGTTTGTGTGCGGCTGGCTTGAGGTCAGCAACACGCCCGTCAGATTGAGGCAAGGGGGAGGAAAAGCGCACGAACGTAGAGAGGTGGTGGCAACACCGCCACCAAAGAAGAAGAGCAGAGCGGAGGAAGAGCGCGCGCTGGCCTCCTGGTGAAGGCGGGCGCGTCCTTCCGCACGCAAGAGTAATTTCCCTGGTGTCTACTAGAAGGAGCGTTTGACTCGGATGTGCCTCCCGGTCTCAACCCCCCCGTCTCTCTCCCAAACGCTTGGAACGCGACGACATAGCACTTCGTTCAGAGGCCGTCGGCCAGTGTGCAGTAATCGCTTCCTATCTCCGTAGTGGTTGGTGTGGTGCGATTTCGTGTGCTGAGATTGAGGGAGCGACGCAGGCACGGACACGCGCACGCATGCACGCACACTCAACAGCACCAGCAGTAGTGAGAGCCCCTTGTCGTCAAGGTGCCCAGCTGTCACGCAGTGTACCACGACAAAACAACAGCACCTGCGGGCAAGTGAAGCTCGTGGGAGGACTCTGTTGACCCACAGCCAATCACATGAACCCGCTTAAATCTGAGAGAGCAGTGGCCAAAATCGGGGACACTCTGTCCAAACATGGCCGTAGTCGGGTACTCCTACAAGACGCTGCTGGAAACGACCGCATGACACCATCTGATGGTTGACGCCCACCCCTACCCGACCTCGACCATCTTTCCACTGAGTGCACCCGATCTTGGCTACTCGCCCCCCGGAGGGATACCCGGTTTTTCTTTCCCCTACCCGAAAATGGCTGGGCTGTTCGGCCAAACCCATGCACACAAGTACACGTGAGAATTGCCTTGCCCTCGAATTCGGACGTTCTGGCGGCGGGCGGGGGCGGACCCACCGCCGGCGGTGGAACTCTCGCTTGGGGGAAACAGCATCAGGCAGACGGTCGGTACAAATGATCGAGAAGAGCTGTGGATGAATGTCTCACTCGCGAGATGCGACACACACGAGACGCATAAAAAATAAGACATAGACTACTCGTTGCTTCTGCTGCTCTCTCATTGGTGACAAACGAGCGGCCAGCGGTGTGCGTCCTACCCGTGATTGTGTGCATGTGGGTTTTCGCCGAACAACCTAGCCGTTTTTGGGTAGGGGATAGAAAAACCGGGTACTCCTCCGAGGGGTGAGCAGCCAACATCGGGTGCACCCGATGGAAAGATAGTCAAGGTCGGGAGGGGCGGGCGTCGGCCAATCAGACGGTGTCATGCGGTCGCTTCCAGCAGGATCTTGTAGGAGTACCCGATCATGGCCGTGTTTGGATCGGGTGTGTACCCGATTTTGGCCACGGCTCATTTTCACCGGCACGAAGTTTCCAGAAAACTTTCTTATCTCAAAATCTGCTTCCATACACCGTAAAAATTGGAGCCCCAGTTCAAAACTGTGTTTTTGACGTGAAAGATTGACATATCGGGGAATTTCGACACAAGAAGGTTCCGCCGCGTTTCTGGAGACAATATTCTCACGGCGATATTTTTCAGACCCGTGTCAATCAAAAAAGGACATGGAAAGATTGACGGCAATTCTTGTCCAAAGGTGGCACACTCCGCCGTGTTCTCTCAGCTACGGTCACCGAAAAGGAGCGACGCCAGCAGCAAACGCATCCACCACCCCTACTGAAACATCCCTCGCGGCCTGTACGCACGTTTTGGCGAGTTCGACACAAAGGACGAAGTTTATACCTTAGCTACCTTTAAACCCCTTCAAAGGCCGATAAAGCTTCCTGTATATTGAAGGTTGAACTCTTGAAGTAGGTAGACTCTTTGCACATTTTAATCTTACGCTTACTGGCAAGCTTAACAAATGTACAGACATCAATTCTTTCTATGATAATGTAAATAATGGGCTGGACACCAATTTAGAGGACCCTGCCGCGGGGCTCAATTTACCCCACTCCGGAGGGACGCCTTGCATGTATTCATAGACGCGCAAAGAATTGCACATAATGAATGCTATCTACTCCCTGCGCGGTTTAGGATCTACGAAAGCTTTTTGTTGCGCTTGAGTTCAAATCCCGTCAGGACCAAGGGATGACGTGATGACGTGCCTATTTTCGTACTTCTCTCGCGGTGGCGAGGTTTTGGTTCACCGTTGCCTTTTAAAGCGGCTAGTCTTTTGGTCTTTCGGCCCCTCTAAGGGAACAATGTACTTAGTTGTATTCTCCAGAGCTAAGCCGCGTTGGAAAATGGCTGAAAATCGACGAATTTGGTCTTCTGCGTCAGTCAACGGTTTGTGTCGCTTTATTTTTGTGTTGTGGTTCTTCCGTTGTTTGCGTCAGCTGGTCGATATCATAATCACGTGGAAGGAAGCGAGCAGGTCGCAGAAAGCCACAACAGCATCGCAGCAGTCACTGCCACGCTTGCAACTTTGTGGAATTAGTACTACCCCGAATAGTGCACTTGGTGCACTCCCCGCCCAATGTCCCATACTGCCCACACTACTGGCAGTTTCGTTAAATCGTCCGTGGATCGTCCCGGGCAGCGCATGATGAACTAACTGCCCACGAAGTGCCCACCGTGGACACTTGAACATAGAACTTCGCCACCGGCACATCATCCTAGAACTTACCCACTCAGCGCCAACCAAGCACGAATCGTGTGGGCTTGAGGTTAGGTTTAGATTTTGTAGTCGTTGTTTTGCCCCTTCCAATGCAGATCATGTGTTGTTTAGGCGTACACTGATTTCGGTTGAAGAGCATTCAATTCATTGACGGTCCATGGGCCGCCCACCGGCTTGCCCATCGGCATGCCCATGAGTGCACCATGGGCACCATGGGCATGACGTTGTGCCCATGGGCGGTTTAGCAAAGCTGTATAGACTAAAGTGTGGGAGACCCGGAGGGTTGAGGTCGAAATAAGTGGCCGGGGGTGCAAGAATAGTCGGGCGCCGATAGCTGACGTCTTGATTTGTCTGTCTTATTCGGCATTTCATTCGGCGCCGGGCGTTGCCGAATTCTCTAAGTTTGACACGAGCTTTCGTCGCCTTCACCGCTCTCACGTGTACATATGCCCTCCGCTCGATTTCACTATCTAGGCACTGCGCCCTACTGCCACGTGACGGTCAATCGTGATTCTGAAGAATTGTTCACACAAACAGACCTGCCTTTCGACAACCCGCCGTCACCCTCGACCTGCTCAAGCACTGCCTACACGCCTCATACGGCTGTGATGCTCTCCCGTTTAGCTCCACTCCAATTGTGCTTTTGACTGATCCAACAACCAATAATGGGCAGAAAATAAAAATATAGAAAATAAGGTTGGAAGGGGCGAGATCTCGGGGAAGAATTCTCCCTTGTGTTTTTCGCACCGTTCGATTTTAAAATGTTTTCCCCAGTGGGTAGTCTAGATCCACGAGATCGTTTATGCCTATTTCTGAAGAGTTAGTACCCCGATAGCATCGCTCAAACCAACTCCGAACACTACTATTTCGCTCCACAAGCACACGACCGCGTTGGAGTCGACCGCGGTGTAGCGCCAAATGTGTCACGGACAGCAGGGACCACCGCTGAGATATTTGTCGATCAGATCGACGAATGAACGGAATAGACAGCATTTCAATGAACAAACATCATCAGCACAACCGCTTCCCCTTTCTACTTTTCTCATTTCTCACTAAAGTGCCAAGCACGTGGTGAACCATCAACTTTTTAGGTGTCCGCCTGTGCGCTGCCCCCCCTCGTTGCTGCTGCGGCAGGATGGTGATGATGAGATTGAGCTCTTTAGTCGTCACGGGTGCCATTTTCCTCTATGGGCTACAAGAGGCGCATGGTCAAGACGTAGCTGCCGATGGGGGTATAGTTTGCCCCGCCATCAACCAGACCCCAGGGCTGTGCCTCTTTGAAAACAATGAGTTGCAGAACGGAGGCCAGCTCACGTGCACTGCGGGTGATATCGAGGTGAGGTCTGCGTTTCACTGGATACACGCTCTTCCATGTTTGCATGTATGTTACGATGGTTTGTGTGTTCGCCGCTCGTCCGTGTGCTTTCTGGTTCTTCTGCACGAAGTGCATCAACACTGAGCCGTTCCCCGTTCTCAATCCGTGTCGACGCGTTACGCGCTCGCCCCTATGCTTGCCAACTCCCTCCGACTGTCCTCAGAAAGATGGAGGAAATGAGGCAAAGGTCGAGGTCACCGAGATCACGACTGGCTGCACCGGAGCGTGAGTCCCCCACAAGGCTTGACATCCCATTTCTTAGCGGATCAAACTATTCCTCATCCAGGCAGTGTCACAGACCCGTCTTGAACGCTTGCCAAAAGCCGTAGAGACAGCCCTCGACGTTGGAAAACCTATAGACTATTTGAGTGACTACTCAAGCATCAGTCTCGACCCGCAGTTGCTTCTAAACTGATACTTCCGATACGTTGATGTGTCTGTTCGGCAAAAAAGTTCGTGCGGCACAGTTTTGATTGCCGGCCGCGCAGGCGCGTGTGTATTTGGTACCGGCAATGAACTGGGCCGTGTTTTGAAGGGGGGGTGGGGTCAACCCCGCACAGGTATCGACCCATAGTAGAATATTACGTGACGTTCGGCTCCGCACGGTCAAGATCAAAATCAAGGAATCCGCCCGGTTGACGACACAACGAGTAGAACCCAATATTTGGTTGGGTTTCCTCTGTATCTTGTTGACTAAGCTGAGGTAGCATCGCCGCTCTCCCTCTCCGTTTTGCATTCATTGCACGCCGAAACTGCCAGGGACTCCACTGCCACCTTCGAGGCCGACCTCACCTACACCGTCAGTGGAGGTGCTACGAGATACGATATTGGCCTGTAAGTTTCGATGGGGCGTGTCTACGCGCCTGAACCACTTTAGAGCAGAGATTCACGTTGTCGACTTGATCGGAAATCCGCGTTCTCATTCAAGACCGGCTCTTCGAGCATATTGTCACGAAAGCTAATCTCGCAGTACACGGCCTCGTTTTTGTCATACACAAGCAGCGACGTAGTTTTTTCGCTCGGAAGGTTTCACCATCGAAGGGATATCATGTGGACCTCCATTTTGTGTGGAGGGGGTGAAGTCTTGTTTGGAGGGTTGGAATTTGCTTTGGGGGGTGAAACCTTTTGGGGGGGCCCATGCATCGCTGCAGACCTCATCTTGCATGTATTACGCGATTCTGCCCACAGCAAACGAGACTCAGCGCTTCGAAAATCGACCATGCTCGCCCGCCAGGTACGTTGCTTCAGACGCCGACGCGGACGGGTACAACGGCGATTGCAACATCTTCAGTTTCGGGTGCCTTGGCCCCGAAGACCCTCCGGAAGACGCCTGCGGTGATCGGCAGGGCTTCAACCGTGAAGAGGGTCTGGTTATCACGGTACGTCACTTGGTTCACATCAAGCGTGAGCAAGATTTTTGTCCGATCTCCTGCTTTCAATCAACCTACGGCGGTGAAGGAAGGCGCAGAAAGTGGTCATGTACAGGATGCAACTTGATCTTGAAGGGATATCTCTGAGTGGAGGGGTAAATTATAAAGGCGGACGGTGCTGCTTGTGTCCTGAAAGTTTCGGAACGCCAATGGTATTGGTCAAACGTGGCGTCGTCTTTTTCATAGAAATGCTCTCTATGGCGCGCCGAGAATTCCAAGCGCCTCCTAACAACGGAATCGCTCGTCCCTTTTTGTAATTTTTTTTCGACCAGACTGCGTGTGTTGCAAACGCAGACGGGAAATTCAAGGTCCCCTACTGCTTCAGCTACTCGCAGAATGTTGACGACATCACCTGCACATTAGACGCCAATGGGGCTCCTCAACCCTCTCAGGCTATCCCCGGCGCTCCTGCCAAGTGTCAGTGCGACGAGTTCGATCTGGGAGCCCAAATTTGCTTGGTGAGCCCCTGTTGTCTTTGCGTAGCGTGGCGTCTTTTGTGCCGTCGAGATGGGTCACATTTTACCCTCTCTACGGTACTTTGAAAAGTATGTAGATACGTGAAGAGTGTCTACTACCCGGACCGCATCGCATCCCGGCATATTCTGGCCTCCAAGTCGCCTGCTCTCCGTCTAGTATTGAATCCTGAGCAGTTGCGGGGTTCTTCGCTAGCCCTCACTGAGGAATTCATCAGGTGTCGGCTGAATTCAGTGCTACTGTATTGTCACGTGAACAAAACGTTCCGAGCACTTGGTCGTGACGCGCCAGGCAGTGGAATTGGTTTCGCGCGATGTCACGGGTGCGTCGTTTAAAGCCGTCTGAGCAGCAGTATCACACCGAATCATACGGGTCATCAGCCGTACAGGGCTACCACAGCCAACCCTCCAAAGCCTAGCTCTCCCACCACTCGCTTGAACCGAACGAGAAGCCCGGGTCAACCGAGACTACACACCTTAGCGCTAAGGCAAAAATAGGCGGGGTTCAATGCGGGGTAATTGCTGTAGTCAACTTCCAGTGATGGCCGACGCGTACCGAAACCACCATCCATCGGTTCGTGTACCATGGTGGTGCGACTGGGCGCACCCCGACTTGTAGAATAGAAGACACCGCCGACTTCACGCTTGGCGCTGTTGTTGGTGACGGGCGACGCCTCAAACATGGCCCTTTCCGATTTTCAATCCGCTCGTTCTTCCGCCCCGCTGCCAATGCCAGGTGAACTTGAACCTCGACGCGACTCAGTTGCAGCCTGCCTGCACCAACTTCAAGCTGGAAGATATCTTGATCTCGAGCGCCGGCATCACTATCGTGAGCGCTGCTTGTGAGTCTACCGCGTGTCATCATTCCCTGAGTCAAGGTTTTACGTCCGAATAGCTCGTTGTCAGGGATCTTGATTCCGGTTAGTTGCCGCAGTCAAGTATTGCCGTCGATCCTAGACCACCGAGAATCGGAAGCCGATTGTTGTCAGGGCAAACATGTTTCCGGTCGAACATGTGTCGACCGAAATACCTGTAGCTTGGCATTCCCTTCTCGAATACGAAGGATCTTGGAACCCATCGCTCTGGTCTACCCACACAAACCGCTCGCGCAAGCCTTCTCGACGACGGTGTACCTAGAGGTGTTGAGTACACCGTCGAAACCGATGCGGTCTCCTGTTGTCCTTCCCTGCACGGCCGGCCTCAACCTGAACAGCTGACTCATTCGAGTACGAGATCTCGCCAGGAAACGATGGGCCTCAGGAATATGTTGCTGGGGAGGACATCGCAATCGCTAACCCCACTTCGGAGACAACGTACACGATTGTGGTCAGACGCAGTGACGGCGACGTTGCGTGCGAAGATACGTTCGAGATCACTACGCCAGAGTGTGGACCTGGTGAGGAATGTCTCCGGCGTGTGTTGCCTGCCCGGCCTATTTATTATTCGGGAAAACGACACAACAGGGTATACCCAGTAGAGTGTGGACCTGGTGAGGAATGTCTCCGGCGTGTGTTGCCTGCCCGGCCTATTTATTATTCGGGAAAACGACACAACAGGGTATACCCAGGCCGAACCGCGACACAGCAGGGTACTTTTTTTTGGCGTGGTTCTCCACAAGTTTGACGGGACTGTAAAAGTGCGCGCGCGCACGCCGCGCGGCTCAGCCGCCGCCTAGCCTTACCCCTGCCCTCGAACTTAGCACGTGTTCAATGCCCTGTGATCCAGGGCTCATCCTAGGGCCCCCCGATGGTTGGTCGGTCACGGTTTGGGGTTAGGGTTAGGGCTAGGGGGAAAGGAGCAGCAGCCAGACTCAGCCTCACACATTTGGTTGGAAGAACCTGATTTTTGTGCGATTTCCCGTCTGATCAGGGTACAGGATCTGGTAACCAGGGTACAAATTGCGACAAGGAATGACGCAGCAGGGTATACCCTGCCCTTTTCACGACTCAGTTGGGTACTTTTTGGTATTGACCAATCAACAGCGTTCGGGTTTACTCTGAGAAAGACAGAGTACCCTGCTGTGTCGCGGTCCGGCCTGGGTATACCCAGTTGTGTCATTTTCCCTTACTATTTTGCAGCAAGGAGGAGGAACACATGGACGTCCGCACGACGTTTCTTGACTGCGATTCTTTTCGAGGTATACCCGACGAGACCGTGACTCTGCATTTCCCTTGTACTTTGTCGTCTGCGGTTGCGCAGAATAGCTGCAGCAATTGGCGCCAAATGGTTCACGTGTCTTTTCAGCTGTACGCACCATTCCACGACTTACCCTCTCGCCCCCGGCGTTATGCGACTCTTCTGCGTCGCCGTTCCGTGACCGCTCTTCGTGCGCGTGTGCGCAGACACGTGTGGTGACGACTTCACCGGACCCTGCGAGCCTGGGACGTCTCTCGTGGACGGCGCCGTCGAGTGCAAGGACGCAGACGACGCACCCACGCCGTGTACCGACGCCATTTGCTGCGAGCAAGGTGAGCCCGGACAGACGATGCCGGTCGGTGAATTTCACGTGTTGGGTGACGTCGCCAAGAGACCCAAGTCTGTGAGAGCCCCGTGTGTGCGCCGGTCCTGTCATCGAGGACACTCTCGGGTTGGTTATGCCGCCGACCTGAACGCGCCACTCGTTGACGTCCCCTCGTCCCCGGCTGACCGCGACCCCTCTGTCCCTCGATTGTGTTGTCGTCCGCGCGTGCGCAGACACGTGTGGTGACGACTTCACCGGACCCTGCGAGCCTGGGACGTCTCTCGTGGACGGCGCCGTCGAGTGCAAGGACGCAGACGACGCACCCACGCCTTGTACCGACGCCATTTGCTGCGAGCAAGGTGAGCTCGCCCGGTTCGTTTCGGGTCGGTGAATTTCGCGTCTTAGTGGCGGGCCGAGTTCGACTACACGCGTGTTGCCGGGTCCCCATCACCGGCGGTGATGCGTGCGATGTCCACGTTTGCGACGTAAAGTAGCGCTGTGATCCCGGTGATGAGGAGTGTTGGTAGTCTGTCACCGAGACACTCAACGGTGAAGGAAGTGGAATCGTTTGGTTTTCCCGCGGTGCCTGACTTTCTGCCTCCCCTCCTCTATAACTGTCCGGCTTCTCCGCTTCGCTCTTTAGGAGAGGCTTGCGCCGACTACGTTTGCGCTACAGAGGGTAACGTCAACAACCCCGACGCTGCGGCAGACATTTGCACCGACGGATGCACGGACGACCAGTGTTGCGTCCCTCGTGAGTTCTTGTACAAAAACTGTTTTCGTACGTACGGTTTGTCCTGTTGCCAATATTTGGTGAACGCATGATAGCATGGGGGAAAACGTGTGCTATTTTATTTGGTAGTGGTTGCGGTTCGTGCAATCTACGCAGTGTGTATATAATACGTACGAAGTGTGTGTGTTTTATGTATCAATAGCATCGTCATGTGAAAGCAGGACGTGTTGAGTGAACCTTGGTTGGACACATCCGCAATTACTTGTCGGATGGCAAACAAATAACAACAATAATCAACAAATAAGGTAGAGTTTAGTAGTGCTTAGACTGGTGCCGGCCGCCACGAAACAAGACCAATGGCAGCAAAATCATCTCCGAAACCGCCCTGCTCAGATTTTGTTCGCCGCCCGTTGTTTTCTCTTCTCGAGCCTTGACGGGTTTGACTTGACTTGACTTCCGCATTCAGAACGTTTTTCAGGGAATATATGAGTTACCACAACGCCTCCTTCAGTTCGGTATGTAGTAGAAGTTGTTGTTGTCGTCTTCACATTACCTACAATCCCGGTCTCTCTATCCAGCACCTCCTTCTGCCCCAACCCTTAGACGCGGTCCATTTCTGTGGTCACAGGCTAACTTAACTACATAAAGGGTATAATGTGGACCCCAAGGGTCAGCAGAGCGATAAATACAACAACACAAATCCTCAGAAATAACTAGCTGGAGCCCTCCGCTCCCCTCTACACGCTATGTGAGGTATGCAGCACAGCACTCTTCATCTACCCTTGTCGTGTCTGCGAGAGGCGATGCGAGCTTTCTTCCTGTCTTCTCCTTCTTTCTTCTTGTTCGTGTTCTTGTTCTTCTTCCGCCGTGGACTGATGGAATGATTAACGATGTCCATGCACTGCCGCCGCCGTCATGCCCACGTGTCAGCCTTGTCGACATGTTTTGCTCGCGGTACTCGAAGGCCGCGCGCTATGCATGTAAATACCCGGCACCAACCCCGGCCTCAACAAAACCATCGGTCCGTCACTTGTATATATGTGTCCCTCTCGCGCGCGTGCTCATTGTGTGGTAAAAAAACGTCTTCTTGCCCTCTCTTTTTTTGTTATCCTCAGTGACCTGCGACACGTCATACGGCTGCGAGGACGTGCAGGGGGGCTCGTGCCTCTCCCCGCCGCTCAACGGCATCGAGGGCGTCACGGCCAACCGCTGGGGCTGGTACCTCGAGTCGACCTTCGATTCCACCGACCAGAGCTTCACCTTCGACATGTATGCCGGGGCGGGGCAGAACGACCTGTCGAGCGGCGCCCTCGCCGGGAACGTCGTAGTCAACGTGATTCAAGACGGCTCCTCCGACTACACCGTGCACCCCGCAGACGGCTACTGCTTCGACGACGTCCACGTCCACGTGGGCAACGAGCTGCCCACTAAGACCAAGAAGAGCGTCACGACCCCCACGGTGGCTCCCGGACAGTACTCCCAGTCGACTCTCGGCGTCGGCGACTTCTACATCATCGTGCACGTGGGCGAGACATGCACGCCCTGCGGGCACTGAGCGCGCAGCGCACCCGACTGACTGCAGGTGTGACCTCGGTGCCAACAAGCACACGATAGGCGCTGCTGCTGCTGCTGCTGCTGTACTCCGGTCGCGATGTCTACACTATTTGTGTAGCTGTTCCCGAGGCAGACGGACCGGGTTGGGCTTGAATTGAAATCCGGTGTCTGGCCACCAATAGTGTACCGCCGTATCAGGGGTATTGTACCTGTATTGCTCGTGCCCGGACAGGAGGACAACGTCCTTTCGTTTTGCCAGGCCTCCTTTCGTTTTGCCAGGCTCTGTCGAGCGCAGCCCGCACGAGTATCCCCCGCGCCTGATGCCTGAAACAGATTCCACTTCTTCGTCCTATCGCGTCCCCTCTTCTTCCCGCCGTCCGTGTGTCTGCTCTGCACGTACATCCCTGAAGGAAAAGACATTCCTGTCTGCAGCAACAAATACATGTTTCTCCAACGAGAGGGACACCCGTAGCGCGCTCGAGGCGCCAACGGCTTGCAGCATGGACTCCAATCGGTGCGGGGCAGACGATACCACCGCCGGTGCTGGAGTTTGTGCTGTCGTGCTTTTTTTTGGGAGGGTAGACTATTGCTTTTGTTCTATTAAACCTGCAACTAACTTACGGTGGTATATTTGGAAGGGCCTCGCCACGACAGAAACGATAGTGACGCACGCACGTGTGCTGCCTGCTCAGCAGTAGTTAGTTGTGTGGAAACAGACTCGGAGCCGCCACTATCTTCCCAATACCGATAATTGCTTTCACCGCTGCGTGGATACTTGGAAGAAGGTGGTAACAAACTTCGTAATACTCCGAGTAAAAAAAAAAGTGGTTGTGGTTGACGTACATTAAAAGGGTTCTATCTTCCCAATACCGATAATTGCTTTCACCGCTGCGTGGATACTTGGAAGAAGGTGGTAACAAACTTCGTAATACTCCGAGTAAAAAAAAAAGTGGTTGTGGTTGACGTACATTAAAAGGGTTCTCTTCAAGTTGGGATCAAAGAACTCACATAGGTGCTGTGGTGTAACGGGACAAGAGTCCGATCTGTGCCCCCCCGTGGGGTATTGCTTGTGTGGGTACTTTAGAGCAAGAAAAAGGGAAAATCAGTGGGAACGAGCGTGACAAGTTAGTAGTGGTGCGAACACCACCAAGACTTTTTTGGCGGCGCCCCACGCTGACCGGCGCGAAACTTGGCACTCTTTGGCATTAATCCATCGGTTTTTGTTTGTGGCACTCTTTGGCACTAATTCATCGGTTATTATTTGCTTGGCTATGGTCGGAGGGGTGCACTGTACGGCGTCAGGACTCACTCGAGCGTTCTCCCGGCGAACCAACAACGGCCTCCGCCTGAGTCCATAAATGGGGCGAAAGTATGCAGTCTAGCGTTCTGAAGGAAAGCAAAAGCATTGTTTGTGGAAGGAAAGCGTTTTCACGATTTTATTTTTTTGTCAAAGGCGGAGGAGATAAAAGGAGCGGTAGACGTAGTTTTCGCGCACGCCGCGGTCCTGATCCTGGACTCAGTTTGCTCTTANGCATTGTTTGTGGAAGGAAAGCGTTCTCACGATTTTATTTTTTTGTCAAAGGCGGAGGAGATAAAAGGAGCGGTAGACAGACGTAGTTTTCGCGCACGCCGCGGTCCTGATCCTGGATTCAGTTTGCTCTTCAACAGCCAAAACGAAAGGGAAACACCCCCGACGACGGGTGGGTGTTCGTGTCCTGTCCACAGGCAGGCAGGCGCACGCTCCCACCGGTTTTAGGTTTAGGCGCCGGCAAGCAGAGCGAATTTAGGATGTAACGCAACGGAGCAGGGAGAAGACAGAGAAGGCGGATTTAGACTAGGGCCTTGATCGATCTTCCCACCCACCCGCCCACCTTACTGACCGCCCCAAGAGGCGGAGGGAACCAGGCGGCGCGAAGTTGATCGTGGGTCGACGTTATGTGTAGAGCATCCACCATTTTCATTTTGGTTTTGTTTTATTTAGAGTTCTCGACTATTTGATTTGTCTAGAGGGCCAGGTATGCCCCACGGGGGTGGAGATATTCAGGGTAGTGGGTCGGCGGATTTGTTTTTAGGAATCGTGCGGAGACGTTGAGGTGGGCCCCTTTGGGGGAGGACGGATCGTGTTCGGCGTGCTTGTACTACTGTAAATAGAAAATAAATGCCAGAATTCTGAGCATGATAACCCGAGCTTTAAAACGCCCAACTTCTAGACTCGGGCACTCGTACGTACAGGNGGTGGGCCCCTTTGGGGGAGGACGGATCGTGTTCGGCGTGCTTGTACTACGCGGTCTCAAACCTTGTGATTCAGCACGTAAATGCCGGAATTCTGAGCATGATAAACCGAGCTTTAAAACGCCCAACTTCTAGACAAAACATAACAATGCCGCATAAGACTACATACATACATGCCCGTAGAGTTAGACCATACCTGGATCATCACCTTCGGCCCTCGCTTTAATCAGCCAGCCCTCTCTACAGAAATGAGCCTCATTTCTGTTGCAAAGCCCTCACGCCCCGGCAACGACGATAAAAAAAGGATACATCCTACGCGAAAGGCGCGGGGGTGGGAGGCGGCGGACCCTCGTGTATTAGGAGGGAAGGGCCTCCAAGCCCGCGCCGTGGAAAAATAAAAGCGCGTTCGTGCCGTTCCGGGAGTCAAGAGACGCGTGCCTCTTGCCCCCCCCCCCCGAAAAAAGGAAACGGTCTCGACGGACGGTGGTTTGTGTGTGATGCCGGAATTGGCCGGCTGGCGCAGCGCGAAGTAGTCCACAGCGGTGAGAGGTTGAAATAGCTTGATTTCGGGACTGGCTGCATGTGGCCGTGCCCGCCGTGGCGCTTGATCTTGACGGCGCCCACTGAGGTCAAAACGCTAACGCGCTTCGCACCACAACACAGCCACATGTAGTCTAAATGAAACCTTGCACAGCCAGCTGACTTCAAAGCCGAATCTGAGCAGTAAACAAGGGGAGGTTTTGCTCTGGTTTCTTGGCTCTGTCAAATTGATTAAGAATGGGGAGAGGGTGGCCTGAAAATTTCAAACGATTCCAATTCTAAGGCATGAGTAAGGAAAATTTGGCGGGAATCGAGTTGATATTTCAAATGATTTTTTTGGGAAGGGGATAAAAAGGAAGCCCCGAGAACATTTCACACGGACAATTTCAAAAAAAAACGGGGAAGGAGTGTGAAGGGGTTTTTGGGATCAACGATTTTTCGTTGATGATTCCGCCTGCTACATTGATTCCGCCGCGTCCAGCCACATGGTGGATGAGCAGTCTCGCTTGTCCCATCACGTCCTCAATCCGGTAGATTGCGCTGTGCGCATTATCGGGTCGTGTGGCACATCCGACGCAACCAAGAAAGGTACCCTGAAGTTTGGGGTGCGCAATGATCAAGACCAAGTCGTGCGAGTAGCTCTGGAGGTTCTGCTGGTTCGGGGCCTTGGAGCGAACATACTTTCGGTTGGAGCGCTGGCCGAGAAGGGGGTGATGTGTGATCTGATGTCTACCCCGCCGGCGCTTTGCATGGGCAACCAGGTCTTTCCGATCTCGACCGCAGTGCCTCGCATGTACGTGCTGAATGTCATCATCGACGACGTCAACCTGGGCGCTGTAGAAGTAAATCGCACGAAGGTAGACGCTCACCTGTGGCACCGGAGGATGAGCCACTGCAACTCGCGAGCGCTGCAGCAGCTGGCGGACAAGGACACTACCGGAATCAGGTTCAATCGCAACATCGAACCAGGTGACTGCGGTGTTTGTGCGGTTGGTGACAGTAAGAAGGGCAGCCACCCCCCGTCTAACCGTCCCCTCTCGGAGACTCGGCTGGAAATTCTAAATGCCGATACGTGGGGGAAACATACGGGGGTTGCCAGAGTGCCGTGATGTTTACTGATGACGCTACCCGCA